TAGATTGTTATAAATAAATAACTAATATATTTTTAATGTCCCAATGAGTATTCTCTGAGGAAGTGGCTTACACTAAGTCACGAAACGTCAGAAAATTTAATTTTTCTACTCATTGGGATATGACAAACATATTATTTATTTATTTTCAAAAAAGCTTTTGCTTATTTCTTTAGTTTTAGTGTTACTTTTAGATTGGACATGTTCAATTTAACCTGTTCTCTATGTCCTCATCTATTTCTCACCTAACTTACCTCGTATTATTAGTGTAGCAAATCGAATAATTATATTTATTTTAAATAATACTGAACAATTATAAATGGAGAATAATTTGAGACTACTTTATTGCCGTATATTTACAGCTTTCTAATTAGAATATCTGTTTGTTAATAAACCAGATCATAAATTAACAATCATAATAAATAAGGTATACCTATATTTGTGTTCGTACATAGAAATACCATTGTATTTTTTGATTTACAAAGCATAGCTATACAATTGATAACAAAAGCATTCAATATGGTATGTTAGTTGTTATTACCTCTCACTGTATCAATAATGTACTGTAGTAATAATAAGAATAATAAATGTGAACTCTAACTATCCTGATGTATAATTTTAACGGTAAACATTATATAGAATTAGATCTAAATATAAATTGTGTTTACGTTTAACAGCAAACAAAGTTCACATTATATCACTAAAAAACTGCATTTCTAAGTTTTTTACTCCTTCATTGGCCAGTCATGAATTGCTGTGCATTCACTTTTATTACATTGAAATAGTGAATAAATAAATGTAACAACAAAATAGCTGAAACATTAAACAAATTTAATATTCTAAGGCGATTAGGATTTCTATTGAATGAAAAGAATTTTGGAGGTACTATGTTCTGTCTTAGCTGAATATTCCATCCATGATGTTTTCATTGTCTTGCTTGATAGCTTCATATCTCGTCAAATGTACTGTTCAAAATAAGGAAAGTAGCCGAAGAAAAATATTTTTCAGATGATTTTCTTTGAATCATACATTTGAAGTTTAGTGAATTATTGTTAATTGCTTTATAATTCTTTTTAAAATGAAGAATTTATTTCCTTAAAGATGTTTGGTCAATATTTTCAAAAACTGGATTGTGAGTGTTACGGAAATCTATTATTCTAAACTGTCTAATCATGAAAACTTACTACACAAATTTCTAAACTTCTCTGATGTATCCGATACCGGTTGTTCTTATTTATTCGTTCTGTTTAACACTTAGATTTCACGTACTTATTTCTACAAAAGATGATTTAATCATTTCAAACAATTACAATGGAGTTTATAAGAGACTGGTACACATCTAGTTTAGAATAAATAAAAAATATGTACTTTATCAAATTAAGCCTAAGTTATTTATATGACATTATTAAATGTTACTCTACTTCCTAAGATAAATATATATGTAATCATAGAGAGATAGAAAAAAGTGCAAAATATCCTCATGAAAATAATCTTTATTTTTTAGATCATCATTGTTATAGTAGAATTAAACGAACTAAAAAGTACACGCTTCAATTGAAATTATCTATAATTATAGTCATTAAGAAAAAAAAAGTAAAACAATGTCAACTTTCTTAGTAATACGTTTTTTCATGATGTACCTTATCGATGCTTCTCAGTAATAATAATTGTATAAATGTAACCTAACCGAGCTTCGAAGTAGACAATAGATATAACTTACTATATTATTTTTGAAATTTTTTTCTTCAAATAAATAACAAGATAATTAGTGGATACTATTAGATATGTGTTTTAAACAAAATCTCATCGAGTGCATTTCATGCCTTGATAATATCGATCATCAAGTTAATAATACGATGTGTGTATAAATTAAATTTTGGATAGGCTGCTATAAATATGAGTTTAGTCAAAATAATATATACTACTACTAAAGTATGAAGGTGATATTCATCAATCAAGAACACTGTTATTTCAAACATAAATATTATATTAGAGGTGACTAAACAAACTTGTAGAGTACCATGTAGAAGAACAATAAAAGAAAATTGAATTGAATTATCACATATTGTGTTATAAAGTAAATATTGGTTTATTGTGAACTCATCTTATTTTCGTGTGGTTGTTTTCTTTTGTTGTTATACTGATGATTGATTTTCTTTGAGGAGGGGACAAATAGTACATTTATTCATATTATAAAAAGTAAAAATATGTCTTATTAAAATCTAAGAAACTATCGGTGTTAAATACAACAATAGAATAAAGGAAATACGGTAAAATACTGAAATTTATTATTTTTATTATCAAGTCATATGACTTTTAATGTACTTTCTAACCTTCATACGCCATCAATTTTATGCATTTATTTGCTTATATATATATATATATATATATATATATATATATATATTTATCCTAAGAACTTACATGAAAATTTTATTTCTTTTCTAAAAACCAATTAATATCTTTCGTTTCATAACAGTATTCTTCATAGATGTAAATAACTTTCAATAATTAAAAATGTGTAACAAATAATTGTGATTGTATTGGATATGAAAGAAAAGTTTAACTAATTACTTGGCTTTTTCTCAGCAGACAAAAACAGTTTCTGGTTTCAACTGATATTTCTACTGTCTTATACTATCTAAACAAAATTAAATGGATTAATTACAACAATTTACCAACAACATTAACCTAAATAGACTTTTTGTAGAGCTTCTCGAATGTCTTGGAATTTATGTGCATAACTTTGGGACAGTGAGCTGACCAGATCAATATCCTTTTCAGAAGCTAGTCAGATGGTTTTCTTTAAGTTTCTGTAGGGTAAGAGTTGGCGCGCATAAAATTATCAAGAAAGTAAGCAAAGATTCATAATCACGTTATCTAGTTAACAGAAAGCTGCACTGCCAGAGTACTCATTTTGTATGTGAAAATGAAGTTTAGTTACTAGTTCGGTTTTGTGACTTAACCTGTAGAGATTTGCGTTTTTTTATTAAGATAACGACCTAGCATTACTTTCAGCTTTCGTACGGATTTCAGTCAATATCTATTATATCTAGTAAGAATATATATCATGATAGTCCATAAATGATTGCTAGCGGTTATCATTCATTTATTCTTTGTTCGGATATAACACTATTCTTATTCACTTCTTAATTGTGTATATCCAAATTCATTGTTCAAATATAAGTAAAGGTTTCATGACGGGACGCATTGATGAACAATGTTGAAACTACATATTTTGTAAGTTCTTAACTAAAAGAAAAATATTTCTACAAATAAGTGATACGCTTAGACAATGAAACCACTTCATTTACTGTTAGAACGGCTTTCGAGAATTAAGACGGAGCCTCTAAAGGCCTTAGAAGAGTCGAAGAGTTCCACTCAATCAAAACGTAATGGAAATTTCTAGAATATCAATGTCGCATGATACTATTGGCCAGTAGCATAACATGTCTATTTGCGGATTGGTTGACTTATAATGTTGATTTAACAAACGCTAATATCTATAAGTACCCGTAATTTTTTGTACATTTCGATTCTTGCCCAACAAGTACTTTCTCTAGTCTTCTGTCTTATTTGCGACTTGAAGGGTTCTGGAGTTCGAGCGCTCAAGTTATACGCGGTATACCTAAGCTCTAGAAATAACACTTACATATATATGTATATATTTGATCACTATAAGTACCAGGAAATAAAAACTTACTTATAATTTACCCTTTAACGAAGTTTCTTTATAAATAATTAAACAGTCAATTTCCATGCTTGATAATAGATTGCTAATTAAATAGTTTTGTTTGATTATTTTTACGTGATAGTTTTTCACCACCCCTTCTCATGTAGTTAATTTAGATTATAGTTAAATTCAATTAACAAATAAATTTCCTTTAATCATATTATGAAAATGAACTTGGTCTGTGACAACACAAAGAGATTGATCTGTTTTCATGGAATTAATTTTTAATTCTCTAGTGAAACTTTCATTTTGATACAATGAAAATAAATTACTGTTAGTTCATTTTAATTGTTTCCATGAGGTTTGATGTGTAATTGTATAGAAAATTATTTTTGTAGACTTATTAATTATAAATTTCAAGCTGAAAAATCAAAACTGGACTGATAATGATGTTGATAAATTGCTACCATATCGACTAATACACGTAGATAAATTTTCACTTCATCAAATCATAGTAAAATGTAGCCATGAATAAATAACTTTTCAATTAGTTTCTCAATAAAATTTGTCCACCTAAATAGATTTATCATTAATAGTTTTAATAAAAATAGTTCTAAAAAGCGACTTCTTGAATTGAAATTATTCAGATAGGATATGCTTCAAGTGGTCTAACAGGAATAGTAGTAATAATAATGTGTCTTAAAATATATACACAACGTTGTGTATGAAATGAAAATGTGACTAAATACAAAAACTCAGATCGCACTTAGTCTTTCAATATCAAATGCAATACTACTGGGTAAAACAAATGTTATGGTTGTGAAATGTGAAGTCAGGGAAGTTGTATAACAATTTTCTTCAAGTCTTGAAATCAAAGTTAAGCAAAAGTTATCAAATTTCATTCGAAAATTTTACTGATAACAAAAAGAAAGATAAAAAAATACACACTAAAAGCAAGTAACTGTTGTGTGACACAACTTAGGCTGAAGACAAACAAAGGTTATTGAACAATAAAACATTCCAATTCAATCGGAATACACATTGTGAATAATCTATGTTAATCGGTGGTCAATTGAAAATGTAATATATCATTAGTATCTTCTGTTCATTCACTTATAGTCTCATTACTTTGATTCGGACTGCACTGGCTGTATTCCTCAGATCATATATATTATTTAATAGCTTAATATTGAACTTCATTAGTTGAGGTGTTTTACTATTAAATGAAACTATTTCCTTTCAAAATAATAACTTTTTGAGTAAATATTAATAAAGATTTAGAAATAATATCAATAATTTTATATCATATTTGACTTCTTTTCATATAAAGGACTTAGGTTGTTCAACTATATCACAGGCACTAGCTTCACCTTGTTTTTCGTCCGAAATACTCAATTCAGATGAAAATCAACGCGGTTTAATCCGACTGTTTTTATCAGAAAATATGATAACCAGATCAAGTATGAATAAATTGGCAACTGGATTAATACGCTGCACACGTTTAACAACGTTACAATTATCTGGCAATTTAAATATTGGCTCTTCCGGTTTATTTGATTTAAAGTCAAGCCTTATCAGTTGTCCATGTTTAAAGCGTTTGGGTATTGCATTTTGTGGTATTGATCATGATGGTGCAGCATGCATTACAGAGATATTATTAAAAACAACATCTCGTTTCAAAATAATAGATCTGACAGGAAATCCTATTGGCATAGAAAATTGTTTAGCATTATTAAACTCTTCAGCTTATTTAGATGAAAAAGTTAGAATAATAGGTTTAGGTAAGTTTGATCTTATTTAAATCATATATCAAAATCTATATGAACGTGTGCATAAATACTTATGTTTAATTGTGTTTTAGAGTTTCAACCATCATCGTTAATGCAATATGCAAGACAGATATCGGAAAAAGAAAATAATAGTCTTTTGCATCAGAGTAATGTAAGTAGTATATTTGATTTATTTTCTTGGTCCTCTAGGTTTCTCCTATATTTGTGGAAATTTACTGTGTTATTATTACTTTAGGTAGATATTTGACCATGTTTAGAGTATGTAATAAACAATTTATTTGTCGTCAGACGAGTTTTCATGTTCCTAATACAAATGAAACACTTTGACCTAAAGTTGTATATCTTCATGGACTAAAATGAGTGGAGTACTCAGTGTCAACATCTAGTCTTCATTAGATTTCACTGATCACTTTTGACATGAACTAGAATTAACTCATTTAACCCATTTTATAATTAAATTTCAAACTGAGCATATCGGTTAATGTTGGTTCTCTTGGCAAGTAACAGAAAAATTGCTTTGCAGTAACTGAAATAAAAATCACTCCTGAGCTGATATTGCTACTATGTACAAAGCAAAACAAAATAGGGCTAACGCCTCTAAATACATCAACTCTGAATTATTCATCGGAGTGTTAAAGATTACCGATTGATCCCCTCTTCATGACCATTTAATAAATAAATATTTTTAAACAAGATCATGAACCAGTCAATGCTAGGCCGTCATTCGAAATCAGGGAGCACTCAACGGCCGTTTGTCCTAGTATGGGACTTCTCAGTAGTGGGCACCCATGATTTATCGAAAGGGACCCGAACCCATGACTTGTGGTCTCGCGCGTAAACGTTTAACCTTTGAGCTTTGAGCTGGTATCCGACGGTATTACTGTCTAACGTCAGCCGATCCACGATATTAAGCGACCATCCTACCTTGTCTTCGGTAAATAACTGCCGCACACCCGTCACGAATTAGCTTGACTTAACACGGCCTCTCACTAGAACTCCGAGAATTGCATGTCAAAGTCAGTCACTAGCCGGCGCATGATAATTATCAGTAAAGAGTTGTTGAGATGTGGATGCCTACTGCTGAGGAGTCCCGTACTAGGTCGAAACAGTCTTCTTGTGCCCCCAGGTTTTCAATGATGGTTTAACATTGGTCGGTTCATGATCTCAAAGCTCATCACAACCCTATGCTGAAAATAAATATTTCATAAATAACCGTCTTATTCATCTAAAGTCAGTAAATGGTATCTCGTATGAAGGTTTGTGAACTAACATAATGAAACTTTTTTAATATATGCCAACATTATGGTCTTCCAGGTATCAGTGTTAAGAGCTACAGTTGATCAATCTCAGTTGATATATAGCATCTAAAGAGGATTATTTCGGTATTCCATTTTAGTTACAAGTTTCAGCGACTCTGGTTTATTACTTAATGTTAAAAGCCACACGAAAATGTAATTACATCCTAGGAACGAGCTCGAATGAGGATAAAAATGATGTTCTGAACTTTACTGCTAGTTGCACACATTACTCAAATTTCTCTATTTTAATATAACGATGACCCTCAGAACCTCGGAATAGTTTTTTCATCAATAATATAAATATATCTCAAAGGACGTTAAACTTCACTCTGGAATATTTTTTCTAAACTATCTACTCAGTTTCTTCACGACCAGTACTGAAAATATAAGATCATTGCTAATGACAGATATTTGAATATAGCACATCAATAATTACCATAATAAGTTAACATTTAAAATATTTGCAGTAATTCATCCGTAGTAACCACTGCTATAAGTAACCCGTTTGATAACTTTAGAGTTATTATACTTGTTTCTATCCGTATTTTATTCGTAGTACTTTGTAATTCTACTTGCTGACAACAAGCGTTTACTAAAGAAATATTCAAAACTAAAATTGCAAGATCAACACGTGATATCCTGAAGTAATGAGGCGTAGCAAAGAACAAATTATTCAACTATAATTGGAATATTACTTTTGATATCCAGAGATTGAAACTGTTATTGAATAGTTCTAGTTTATAATGATGAAGGTTATGTACAATTTGGTTTTCTAGTTTTTACTCCTTCGTGAATGGTTCTGTCAACGTAAACCTATATTCACCTGACGATGCACAATTCGACATTCAGAAAATTAGGCCGCTATTTTAGTGATTTCGTAGTTTCTCAGAAGTTTATATATTAAAATCGCTTTTACTTAGAAAATTGTATAACAGTGCTTACGGTAACGGTATAAATGGTCACAATTGATCTTCTATGTGTTCAGTAGAACAATCATTTTTACTCTGTAAACGAATCTTTAACTTACACTGGTTTCCTAAATTCGATGAAAAGTAAATTGCTACATACTCCTCATAAGTTGGGAATCATAAATGGTTTCCAATTCATTTGAATATCTAAAACTGAACTAGTTCAATTCAACTCTAAGTTTGATCAGTTATTATTCAAGTATTTTTCCATTTTAGTCCGGTCATACAAGCTATAAATCATTTGCACTACGTATATTCAATGTAGATTTTGGTCTAATTGATTAATTAATCTCTTAGAGCTGAATTTAGAAATCGATATATCCATTAATGGAATTACTTTTTATGTTCTGTAAACAGAGTATTTTCTTTACATAATGGTTTTTGACTGTTTTTTATTCTGATGTCAGAATAATTCACAGGTTCAAAGTGATGGACTGACTCCAGATCGAGATTATCAACGGCTTAAACATAAGAATCGGAGACATTCTCAAATTAGTTCATCGAAACATTCAATTTATGGAAAAACTAAATTCACTTCCTTACCTACAATTGACTACAATCATAAACCATATTCAGAACTTAATCCAAAATATTTGTGGGGTGACAGTTCAGATGATGAAGATAGAGTGAAGGATACCGATGATAACAATGTATCTGTAATTACAAAAACAAATAGAAATTACCTTTCAGAACAAAACTACAAACAAACTAGCAAAAACGAATGGACAAAACATCATTCTGTTAGTTGAACTGTATACATATTTTCATGAGATTCAAATATTTCATAGAAAAATTCCTCCCGCTGTTTTCAGTCTTAACTTGATTGTTAGATTTATACAAATGTATCAAATAACCTTGAATAATGTAAATTACACAGCTTTTACTGTGTACTTACATCACTCATGTAAAGTCGTCAGATTTCTGTCAACAATCTTTTCTAATGAATATATGTATTTTTCCACAACTACATTTCCTTAGATGCACTATGAATCTTCGAAATTTCAATGTTTGACTAAAGATTATCATAGCAAGGTAAAATACGAACTATACATTGAGCAGAAAAATTAAACTTTTCACTGAAAAGATTTTCATTTACAAAATTCCTCATGTTTCTACCAGGGTTTGAGGTGGATATGCATGTCTATGATAATTGGAAGTATTTGAATTATAGTATGAACTAAGAATCTCAGAAATAACGCAGTCAAGAAGTACTAGATAAGCACAAACGAATGTACTGTATTTAGAACTCGATATCAAGCAATGAACAAGTACAAAGGAATCATTAGTTCATTCAAACACCACAATGTCATTGGTGATGGAATATACAATATATAAGTACTATCAACCAGTATCAGATACAATAGATTTAATCGTACTGGTAATTTATCTATGCTGTTTGAAAAAAAATATCGTTTTCACTCAGTTACGCTTGAAGTATTTTAAATAGCCGTAGCCAACAAAGTGGTGTTATAATATTTTAGATTGAAAAAAATTAAGATTTACACGACTAGTCGATGACTGAAGTGGTTTGCAGCATTTTAGATACCTAATGAATGCATATAACAATAGAATGTAATAAATAGTAGTTAGCTTTCATCTTCCACATTATTCCTCCATCAATTCTAATGACGGTTTTCTTAATCATTTCTAATAACGTCTATTTTGAGAGGTGTTTTTCACTTGGAAAATTTGTGCAAATCAATCTGTATTCATCACAGGTCAGAATTTTTTAATAAAACTATGTACAAGTTATTTACAAGAGAAACGTACACTCGGACAATTATGCACTAACAATTATGATATAATGTTAGCACAGATCAAATGATTTCTGCTTATTGTACTGTAGAATCTACCCATCAAACTGTTGGATCTAACAGAATGCAAAATATTTTGCCATTATCTTCTATTTCCGATTATTTAGAAATATGCAAAATCTACAAAAAAAATGTTGCAAACATAATAAATTATCTGAAATAATTGAGAGTACAACAAATTACATATTTGAGTAAGAACACACATAATCTCTTTAGTGCATATGCGAATTGATTTGCCTACGGTTTTTTAAAATCTCCGAAGATTGGTTACAAACCTAACACGTCATAAAATAGGTCTTTTCAAATGGGTCGAGACTTTCAGTAAGACCTCTAAACGCTTAGAAGATAATGTCTGTCCAAGATAACTGTCAGTTTCACTGTCTTCGCAAAAACATCAAGAAGTACAGTTGATTTCGTGTTGAAAATATTCAACAATTAAGAAGCTTTGTAGACGGAACATTAAAGTCAAATAACTTGTGTTATATTTGCAATCAAAATTTAACTATGGTTGAGGCGTATTTGCATTTTATTGTCATTTACATAATCAAATCCCATATTACAAGACAACTGAGTATTGTAACTATATTATTCATAAGTGTTGTTTTTACATGACAGTCATGTGAATGAAAGATCATCACCGAATATATATCAATGAAGTATTTACAACTTCAAATCTTAAACTTTCAAACTAATGAATTAATTTCACTTGGTGTTGTTTGCTTGTATATTCTGACTGTTGTTTAGGACTGCATTTGACCAGTCTGTTATTGGCATATATGCATCCTGTGCGGATTGTCTTGATGTTGCCTTAAGTCACAAGCTGTACATGCAAAGATGGATAGTGGCTAGAAGTGGAATCCAATTTGGGACTCGTCAGCTGGATTCACCTGAATCTTAAAGTTGATAATCACTACTGGATTCGAGTTAATGTAGTGAAATGATTAGTAAACTTATAATATCTCATTAAATTCATTGGTTCTAATTTATTCAAAGGAAATCAACATAGAGCTATTTAATTAAACTAAACTCATCATATTGTGATGAGGATTCTATATTGAACCAAAAATGTAAAATTGAATAAATCCACTAATTATAATAATGATAATCTAAAATTATAATTTGTTCACAAAGTTGTACGTGTTAGGAATTCCGTATGGAACGTAAATTGTGTTTTACACAAATTAACTAAGATTTGTTAGATTCACTATTTCTATTATTTTATTGTTAACTATGGAAAAGTAAAACAACTCTACAATCATTTCAATGCCACTAACATTAACGGTTTGAACTGTTTAGTTATCAGCTATACTGATTGATCACTGTGAGAGAACCAATATCATATAGTTTCATAGTTTAGTGACGTTCAAATTCTGTTGATGACGTATACGAGTTATCCTTGTAGACGAAAGAATACAAATCATGTTTTACGTATGTCTTTACTTGATGGTAATGATCGATAGATTGACGAGTCGAACATTTCACGTTATACATCTTAATCATTACTATTGAGGTGACAAGTAAAGTAGGTGACGAGGACACAGATAGGGACAACTAAATATATTGAGAAATGAAATTACAGAATTTCTTAGTAAAATCTGAGAATGGTACATTAAATAATTCATTCGCAAAATGTTCATCAGTTGTCTCAGACTTCGTTGATACTTCGTCTCCATACCAATCACTCTTTGTTCTCGTTCATTTCTCTTTTGTCTTCTCAACCGTCTGCCTCCAGGCATTCCACTTCCGATTGGTGATTCATACTACTTATATCTGTCGACATCAGTAGTACACACACCACACTGTTATTATTGTGTGTATTTATTGTACTTAAAATGATAGCATTGGTTTGTAATCCTAGTTTGTATATTTCTCCTAATAGTTTTAAACAATTCACAATGGTAGAAACTTATATTAACAATATGGATATCTAGAACAAACAGTTTGTATTCAAAAGGAAATCTATCAACCACAATGAAAACAACATAATATGTTTCAACTTGTTTTATGTTTATAAATACCAACATTCTTGCACCAACTAAGCAAACTTCCATTGTAAATAATTATAAAAATGGTTCATGATAATGTTCCATCGAAAATGATAAACATTCTGAAGTACAAACTAAATGCTAGATTACAATCATAGTTCACATCAGTTTTGTAAATACTAACTTTCATAAGCTTCTTTTGTTTATTCCTTAATGTAAATACCATCTTAACTATTGAATGATTTGCTTTACACAATGAGAATGACTAAATTCGTCTTATTTATGAAGAATCATTTACATTTATCGCCACTAAAATAAATGTCAGTGGTCAAATTTCTGCTGAATATAAACAAGTGAATAATTTTCTTGAAACCACCAATCAATCTAAGTTAGATAACCATCGAAAACCTGGACCAGTTCCTGATTTCAATCAAACTCAACAATTTGCACAGCTTTGTAATGAAAGACAGTAATTGTAAATAATAATAAAGGGTTCCTATCACAGTGGATGTTATTCGTATTCTACAACATACATACACAAAGAGAGGTTCATTTACTTATTCTCATTGGAAATGAATGCTGTATTACTTATAATATGTATTCTCTCTGAAACATATCCATAAAAGAAATTACGCCAGCTGAAACAAAATTTACACTAAATTAACTGAATGCCTCCTTCGTTTACACATACATAAACGTACATGCAATCGCTTGCATCAGTAAAAGAAGACAACTACAGATACGAGTTTGATTGGGAAAACCTCGAAATCCTGAATTGGTTGATTCCAAACTATTGAGAAACTTTCTGGAAACACAGAACTGAATTCAATCAGAATTCATTAGGCATGTCGTCATGGACCTATTTTACAGACCTATACAGGAAACGTCAGTTAATCATGCATAAATAGGTTAACAGAATAAAGTGATCATTAGGAATACAAAGATAAATGCAGCCAACCAAACGTCTGAGAGTAACCAATCACAGATAAGCTAGTCAGAATGAGTTAATTTCTACCTAAACTAAAATAAAATAAGTCACACCTGTTGCTCATCTAGGGTTACTGTCGGTCCTGATCCCGGAAAAAGAAGGAGGGTTGGGCATGAGGAAGGCATCTGCATCCCGTAAAGAAACAACCCTGCTAAAAACGCTAACCAGAACAAACATATTAAACCATTTCAACTGTGTTGTCTGAGTTGAGGTTTCTTGCTCCTGAAGAATTATGATGCCTCGTGGTGAATGTCATTCCCCGTTTAACATCAAGACCATAGCAACAATTTTAATTGGTGCATGAAATGTTCAGAAAATGTGGGAAATCGGGAGAACTAGTTAAATAGCTATGGAAATAAGGGATACAAATAGATGGTGCTCAAAATCAATGAAACACATCAAATCCAAGCTGGACAGAAATGAATAGATTCAGAAGAGTTGCTTCAGTACTCAGATCATGAAGAACAAAGTGTAGCACATATTCAGTAAATTGCTTTGATGCTGTCCAAAGAAGCACAAAATGCACTTATTGGATGGGAATCTCATGGACCCACGATCATCAAAGAATCTTTCAAAGCAAAGCAGTAGGGAACTACATTGCATTTCATCCAATGTAATACACCCACCAACGATAGCAATGACTACGGAATTGATTAGTTTAACGAGAGGCTGCAATCGATTATTAGCTAAGTGCTCGTTGAAGTACCTGGTCATCCTAATGAGAAACCAAACCACCAAAGTCGGAATGAACAACACCAGGTTTTAAGATATCATAGGATGACATGGAATGACTGGAATAAAAAAACGAGAATGTTGAGAGATTTGCAAATTTATATGCATTCAACAAATTGGCTATAGATAATACAATATTCCCACAGAAAGCTACATGTGTATCAACGAGCCATATCACACAGAACAAGATCGATCATATTTGTACAACTAATATATTCACAAAATCAATTGAAGGCGTGAGAATCAGGAGACGAGATGATATATTTTACGATCACCACCTGATGAATGCTAAGGTGAAACTAAAACCAAAGAAGCATTGGATTAGTGAACAAACACAAATGCGAAGGTTCAATACTTACTTCCTTCGACATACAGTCGAATTCAACAAATTCAAGACCGCTCTCAACAACACGTTTCAAGCCTTACTACGTCTAATGCAAGATGAAGAAACTTCTATGGAGGTCAGCTGGAAGGGGATGACAGAAGCACCAACTTCGACGTCTCAGGAGGTTCTAGGCCACAACAAGCATCATCATAAGGAATGAGTCTCTTTTCAGACCCCGGACAAGATTCAAGGAAGAAAG